TTCTAGAGGTAATAAAACAAAAAAAAATTCCAATCAGTACTTACCAAGATATAGAGGCGTGAAGTTGATCCTCAATGACCGGGTGGCAGCAACATCAGCGACTTCTGTAGAGTCATATCTTTTTATTTTACTTTTTTTTTTTGTTACTTTCTCTTATCTTTTCTCATATTTTTTTTTTTCCAGTAATGTTTGTGGCCTGTGAGACCAATATAATGCATAATGTATATATGTACACATGTTGTATTCAACACAACTGCTCTAATATTTTCATCATTATACTGTTTACAAAACTTGTTTACAACAAAAAACATGCAAAAATGTTGTACGGTGGAACCTTGAGTTACGAGTGTCCCAACTTATGAGTTTTTGAGATACGAACCATCCCTGGGTCGATTTTTTGCTCTGAGTTACGAGCCAACATTTGAGTTACGAGCCAACATTTGAGTTACGAGCCAGCTCCCCCCACCTCCCTCAACCCAAAACCTGGACACCTCGCTGGTTTATCTATGATTTCATGCTTTAATTCCATGGAAATCATTCTCTTTTTCTTCTCAGCAATAATAATAGTAATATATTATTATTATTATTACAGTCAAGTCACTCAGTAAGTCAGTCAAGTCAATCACTAAGTCAGCCAAGTCACTCAATAAGTCAGTAAAGTCATTCAGTAAGTCAGTCAAGTCACTCAGTAAGTCAAGTCATTCAGCAAGTCAGTCAAGTCACTCAGTCAGTCATTCAGTCAGTCAGTCATTCAGTCAGTCAGTCATTCAGTAAGTCAGTCATTCAGTAAGTCAGTCATTCAGTAAGTAATATCAGCACATTCATGAACACATATTAGACCCACCAGTTGGACGCGTATGAGTGATGTGATTTGTTTACTCTTGAATATTGGCAAAAATCAAACATTTCCATTACTTTGACCTCCATTTCAAGCTATTTTCAGTCCTGAAACCAATTAAAAATAATTTATATTTCTGTAATATATTTTCCATTCTATCAAATGAGTCCAAGAATACAACCACTTAATTTACCCGAAATGCTCTGCATAACAAGCGACTTTCTATATAGTAGTATGTCACTGATGTCAGCTAGGACTGTATACCTTGTACATGTACTTGTAGAAATAAAGATATTACTATATTATTACTATTATAATTATTCTTGGTACAAGCAACTTATGTTGCAATAACAAGGTAAGTTTTCCTTGTTGCTTGTGCACACCCACACCACCCTCACATAGCACCATCCTCATGCAAGCACCACCCTCACATAGCACCATCCTCATGCAAGCACCACCCTCACATAGCACCATCCTCATGCAAGCACCACCCTCACATAGCACCATCCTCATGCAAGCATCACCCTCACATAGCACCATCCTCATGCAAGCACCACCCTCACATAGCACCATCCTCATGCAAGCATCACCCTCACATAGCACCATCCTCATGCAAGCACTACACTTACACAAGCACCATCCTCACATAGTACCTCCTGACACAAGTACCACTCTCACATAACACCAGCCTCACACAAGCACCACCCTCACATAGCACCACCCTCACACAAGCACCACCCTCATGCAGCACCACCCTCACATAGCACCATCCTCATGCAAGCACCACCCTCACATAGCACCATCTCACACAAGCACCACCCTCATGTAGCAACATCCTCATGTAAGTACCACCCTCATATAGCACCACCCTCACATAGCACCATTCTCATGCAAACGCCACCCTCGTGCAAGCACCATCTTCACATAACACCATCCTCACGCAAACATCATCCTCACACCCACACCTACACTAGCATGTCATAACATACATTGCAATGTATTATAGATCACTCTTGAAATAAATTTGTTAGCACAGTTTTGATAGATATGACATTGGTCTACAGTACACTTAGTAATATTATTGCCTTGGTGGGAATCGGCCGGTGTGATAATAAAAAAAAAAATAAAAAAATTGTTTTCCTATGTATTAATATTTTAGAACTTAATGTTACTAATATATTTGTCCTTTCTGTATGATTTTAAACTTTAATTAACTTTTATATTGTCACAAACATTTCTATTATAAGATGTAGTTCAGTTTTGTCTGAGGGATGAACTACATTTTTATTAACATACCAGCCATCTCCCACTGAGGGAGGGTGACCCAAAAAAGAATTTTTTTTTTTACCACCATTCACTATCACTGACTTGCCAGAAGCATGCTGATACCACAGTTCAGATGCCCCTCCAAACTACAAATATCCCCATCCCTTCTCCAGAGTGCAGGCACTGTACTTCCCACCTCCAGGACTCAAGTTTGGCTAATGGGTTTCCCTGAATCCATTCACAAATGTTACCCTTGTCAAGTCCCAAAAACCATTTGCCTCCACTCACTCTTATCTAACATGCTCACTCACACCTGCTGGATATCCAAGTCGCTTTTGCCCCCTTCCTCCAACCCTTCCTAGGACAACCCCTACCCACTACAGATTAATACATCCTCCAAGTCATCCTATTTTCTTCCATCCTCTCTAAGTGTCCAAACCACCTAAACAACCACTTTTCAGCCTTCTAGATAATAATTTTAGTAATCCCTCACCACCTCCTAATCTCCAAGCTATGAATTCTCTGCATAATATTTACACCACACATTGCCCTCAGACATGACATCTCTACTCTCTTCAACCTCCTCCTTGATACAACATTCACAGCCCATGCTTCACACCTATACAAGAGTCATGGTATCACACACTCATACATTCCCCTCTTTACCTCAATGGATAACATTCATTGCCTTCACAGATGTCTCAATGCATCACCCACCTTTTTTCCATTATCAATTCAATGATTCACCTCATCTTTCATAAACCCATCCAACAACCACTCCACTCCCAAATATCTGAACACATTCACTTTCTCCATAGTACCCTCTACCAATCTGATTTACAGGCAGGCCCCACTTATACAGCAGATTAGGTTCCAGACTACCACTGTAAAATTAAATTGCTGTAAAGTGAAACACAGCCTTTTCTTCACTTTCAAATGCATATAAAAGCCTGATAACATGTATACATTATCGTATATTAAGTGATCAATAGAGCTAGGCCTAAAAAAATGCATATAGTACATTACACACAATACTTATTTTCATCCTTAGCTTATAGTGAGTGGTGAAAATATATATTGTAGGAAATCTGAATAAATGAAGAATAGGTATAATTGTAAACCATTGCATTAGTGAAATGTTGTAAAGTGAAGAACTTTAAAGACGGGCCTGTCTGTACAATCTTCTATTACCTATATCATCTGTTACCCTCATCACTCTGCTCTTTCTTATGTTCACATTAAATTTCTTTTTATATACCCTCCCAAATTTGTCCACCAATCTTTGCAACTTTTCTTCAGAATTTCCCAATAGCAAATGTAACAACTCCTATTTTGTATTAAATTCTGCATATTTTAACACCACACCTCTCTCCAACACCATATCATTCATTTCTTTTACAACCACCATCTATAAATATGTTAAACAACCATGTTGATATAACATATCCCTGTCTAAGGCCTACTTTTACTAGAAAATAATCTTCCTTTTTCCTACATACTCTAAACTGAGCCTTACTTTTCTTATAAAGATTCTTAAATGCTTTCAATAACCTACCACCTATTCCATGCACTTGCAACATCTGCCACATTGCTTGCCTATCCACCCTATCATATGCCTTTCTAAATCCATGAATGTAATGAAACCTTCCTTTTTTTTATCTTTATCTTCATACTGTCCGTTAATATGCTTCAGTGTAAACACTTGGTCAACACATCCCCTACCCTTCCTAGAGCCTCCTTGTTCATCTGTGATCCCGCTCTCTGTCTTACTGTTTATACCAAGGAACTATGCATGCTCTCTACCAATAAATAGGTACCTTCCCTCTTTCATACGTTTAAACAAAAGTACCAATCACTCGAAAAATATATCCCCACCTGCTTTACCCCCTTTCATTTTACCCACAGCCTCCACCATTCTCAGATTTGGCACTTCCTCACTTCTAAAGGATGTTATACCTCTTTGGCCAATACATGAAACCTCCCTACCCCCCTTCAGCTTTGTTTTACTTACAGCCAGGACATCCAGCTTCTTTTTATTCATAACACTGACAATCTCTTTCTTATCATCTGCACTACATCCATGCACATCCAAACATCCCAACTTCATAAAATTCTTCTTATATTTAGTAATTTATACAGGAGAAGAAGCTACTAGAACCTTACTCCTGACATTTTAATCGCCTTTTACAACACGCATGGATTACAGAGGAAGAATTCTTTTCCATTTCCCCATTGAGATGAAAGGAAAATAAATAAGAACAAGAGCTACAAAGAAAAACAGAAGAAAACTCAGATGGGTGTGTATACATGTACATGTAGTGTGACTTAAGTGTAAGTAGAAGTAGCAAGATGTACCTGTTATCTTGAGTGTTTATGGGACAGAAAGAAAACACACCAGTAATTTTACCACTGTGTAAAACAATTACAGGTTTGTTTCACACTCATTTGGCAGGACAGTAGTACCTCCCTGGGTGGTTGCTGTCTACCAACCTACTATATAACTTTTGTAATTAAAATAATTACTGCATTTTCAAATATTTTACCATACACTATGATTTAGCAATTTACACCTTCCAGTGTTATTAAACCCTTCGAAAATCTCTGACAACCTCAAAGCTGCTCCTTCCACTACTTTCTCTATCAACTTGAATTATGACCATAAAAACCCACACTTTCTTGCCTACATTGTTATTTCACGAACTACCTTGTCTATCTTTTAAATTTTAACTTCCAGGATAATGTTTTTTATTCTTTAAATCTTTTAATTTTAAAATATTTATTTTTTCCTAATATTATGCCCATTCTCTTTCTAAGCCTCTTTGTTTTTCATTCCTAATTTTCTTAGATTTCAAAATTAACTAATAAGACAGCACCAAGAATATAATTTCTCACTTACCTTTTGTTGGAGATTTTTTCAAGTTTAATGACATCAAAGTTCCAGGACATATCCTCTGCCAGAAGCTCCCGTATGGCTGCTGAAGCTTGTTGGTGGAGAACAGGAAGAGAGGGCCGTGGCAGTTGGTTAACCTTAGCAGCGGTGTCGTTACTGCTACGACGAACAGACATCAGGGGTTTAGGGCCTTGCTGGTTAGTAGACCAAGATGACTTAGAATTTTGTTGTTGATCAGCAGCATACAGTATAACTAGTAAACTTTTTTTTAACACAGTGGTCGTCTTCCACTGAGGAAGGTGGTCCAAAAAAGCACTTTTACCATCATTCATGCTATCACTGCCTTGCCAGAGTAGTACACAACTCTTTTCATAGTCTTCTTTCTCACTATACAAGGGAGTGGTTTAGGCAATACCTGGAACTCTTCTAAAAAAACACTCACTCACTCTTTAATTTAACCTGCTTTATATACATGTAGTTTATATAATGTAAATGCCTTTTTCATATTCATTCTTCCTTTATGTTTATACTAACTTAGAAGTAAATTATTAAATAACAGATCCTTTACAGAATAGTATGCATCTCTATCCCAATCTAAATATTTATTCTAGATGTTACACTTGTACCATCCGACTTACGACAGAGCTTGGTTCCAACCAACCAGCCGTATGTCAAAATGGAGGCACGTTGAATCTTAGAAAATTGCCGACTTACTGGGTAGGGCATAATGCCAAACCCTTCCTATATAAAGTACCTACGTAGTATCATATGTTACTTTACTAAATTTTTTTTTTTTTTTTTATTAACACACTGGCCGATTCCCACCAAGGCAGGGTGGCCCAAAAAAGAAAAACTTTCACCATCATTCACTCCATCACTGTCTTGCCAGAAGGGTGCTTTACACTACAGTTTTTAAACCGCAACATTAACACCCTTCCTTCAGAGTGCAGGCACTGTACTTCCCATCTCCAGGACTCAAGTCCAGCCTGCCGGTTTCCCTGAATCCCTTCATAAATGTTACTTTGCTCACACTCCAACAGCACGTCAAGTATTAAAAACCATTTGTCTCCATTCACTCCTATCAAACACGCTCACGCATACCTGCTGGAAGTCCACGCCCCTCGCACACAAAACCTCCTTTACCCCCTCCCTCCAACCTTTCCTAGGCCGACCTCTACCCCGCCTTCCTTCCACTACAGACTGATACACTCTTGAAGTCATTCTGTTTCGCTCCATTCTCTCTACATGTCCGAAACACCTCAACAGCCCTTCCTCAGCCCTCTGGACAACAGTTTTGGAAATCACGCACCTCCTCCTATTTTCCAAACTAAGAATTCTCTGCATTATATTCACACCACACATTGCCCTCAGACATGACATCTCCACTGCCTCCAGCCTTCTCCTTGCTGCAACATTCATCACCCATGCTTCACACCCATACAGGAGCGTTGGTAAAACTATACTCTCATACATTCCCCTCTGCTTCCAAGGACAAAGTTCTTAGTCTCCATAGACTCCTAAGTGCACCGTTCACCCTTTTTCCCTCATCAATTCTATGATTCACCTCATCTTTCATAGACCCATCGGCCGACACGTCCACTCCCAAATATCTGAATACAGTGGACCCTCGACCAGCGATGGCATCGATTAATGATAAATCTGACTAGCGATACATTTTATCGCAAAAGTTTTGCCTCGATTATCGCTTAAAAACTCGACCAACACTATTCGTTCCATCTGAGATGCGTCCACTTCTGGCCAGTGTTTACAAGCCAGCCACCCACCGCGGTCGCTTCCAAGCATACAATCGGAACACTTCATATTATCACAGCCTTTTTAGTGATTGCACCTGCAAAATAAGTTACCATGGGCCCCAAGAAAGCTTCTAGTGCCAACCCTACAGCAAAAAGGGTGAGAATTACTATGGAAATGAAGAAAGAGATCATTGCTAAGTATGAAAGTGGAGTGCGTGTCTCCGAGCTGGCCAGGCTGTACACAAAACCCCAATCAACCATCGCTACTATTGTGGGCAAGAAAACGAGAATCAAGGAAGCTGTTCTTGCCAAAGGTGCAACTATGTTTTCGAAACTGAGATCGCAAGTGATAGATGATGTTGAGAGACTGTTATTGGTATGGATAAACGAAAAACAGATAGCATCTCTCAAGCGATCATATGTGAAAAGGCTAGGAAGTTGCATGACAATTTAATTAGAAAAATGCCAGCAACTAGTGGTGATGTGAGTGAATTTAAGGCCAGCAAAGGTTGGTTTGAGAGATTTAAGAGTCGTTGTGGCATACATAGTGATAAGGCATGGTGAGGCTGCCAGTTTGGACCAAAAAGCAGCTGAAAAATATGTGCAGGAATTCAAGGAGTACATAGACAGTGAAGGACTGAAACCTGAACAAGTGTTTAATGGTGACACTGACAATGTTGTGAAACACTTTAGGAATGTCATAAAGGAACGGGAGGTACAGGCCTCTATGGGCAGATATGTTGTGCAACAGAGGTCCAGTGACTCTCAAGCTGGTCCTAGTGGCATTAAAAGAAGAAGGGAAGTAACCCCAAAAAAGGACTTGCCACCTCAAGTCCTAATGGAAGGGGATTCCCCTTCTAAACACTAGGACCATCAACACACTTCCCTCTTCCCATCCCATCAATCATCACCAGATCTTCAATAAAGGTAAGTGTCATGTAACTGTGCATGTCTTCTTCAGTTTGTGTGTATTAAAATTAATATTTCATGTGTTAAAAATTTTTTTTTTCAATACTTTTGGGTGTCTTGCACGGATTAATTTGATTTCCATTATTTCTTATGGGGAAAATTAACTTGACTATTATTTTGACTAACGATGAGCTCTCAGGAACGGATTAATAGCATTAGTCGAGGGTCCACTGTACATTTACCTCCTCCATACTCTCTCCCTCCAATCTGATATCCAATCTTTCATCACCTAATCTTTTTGTTATCCTCATAACCTTACTCTCTCCTGTATTCACTGTCAATTTTCTTCTTTTACATACCCTACCAAATTCATCCACCAATCTCTGCAACTTCTCTTCAGAATTACCCAAGAGCACAGTGTCATCAGCAAAGAGCAACTGTGATAACTCCCACTTTATGTGTGATTCTTCATCTTTTAACTCCACACCTCTTGCCAAGACCCTCGCATTTACTTCTCTTACAACCCCATCTATAAATATATTAAACAACCACAGTGACATCACACATCCTTGTCTAAGGCCTACTTTTACTGGGAAATAATCTCCCTCTTTCCTACATACTCTAACTTGAGCCTCACTATCCTCGTAAAAACTCTTCACTGCTTTCAGCAACCAACCTCCTATACCATACATCTGCAACATCTGCCACATTGCCCCCCTATCCACCCTGTCATACGCCTTTTCCAAATCCATAAATGCCACAAAAATCTCTTTAGCCTTATCTAAATACTGTTCACTTGTATGTTTCACTGTAAACACCTGGTCCACACACATCCTACCTTTCCTAAAGCCTCCTTGTTCATCTGCTATCCTATTCTCTGTCTTACTCTTAATTCTTTCAATAATAACTCTACCATACACTTTACCAGGTATACTCAACAGACTTATCCCCCTATAATTTTTGCACTCTCTTTTGTCCCCTTTGCCTTTATACAAAGGAACTATGCATGCTCTCTGCCAATCCCTAGGTACCTTACCCTCTTCCATACATTTATTAAATAATAGCACCACCACTCCAAAACTATATCCCCACCTGCTTTTAACATTTCTATCTTTATCCCATCAATCCCAGCTGCCTTACCCCCTTTCATTTTACCTACTGCCTCACGAACTTCCCCCACACTCACAACTGGCTCTTCCTCACTCCTACAAGATGTTATTCCTCCTTGCTCTATACACGAAATCACAGCTTCCCTACCTTCATCAACATTAAACAATTCCTCAAAATATTCCCTCCATCTTCCCAATACCTCTAACTCTCCATTTAATAACTCTCCTCTCCTATTTTTAACTGACAAATCCATTTGTTCTCTATGCTTCCTTAACTTGTTAATCTCACTCCAAAACTTTTTCTTATTTTCAACAAAATTTGTTGATAACATCTCACCCACTCTCTCATTTGCTCTCTTTTTACATTGCTTCACCACTCTCTTAACCTCTCTCTTTTTCTCCATATACTCTTCCCTCCTTGCATCACTTCTACTTTGTAAAAGCTTCTCATATGCTAACTTTTTCTCCCTTACTACTCTCTTTACATCATCATTCCACCAATCGCTCCTCTTCCCTCCCGCACCCACTTTCCTGTAACCACAAACTTCTGCTGAACACACACTACATTTTTAAACCTACCCCATACCTCTTCGACCCCATTGCCTATGCTCTCATTAGCCCATCTATCCTCAAATAGTTGTTTATATCTTACCCTAACTGCCCCCTCTTTTAGTTTATAAACCTTCACCTCTCTCTTCCCTGATGCTTCTATTCTCCTTGTATCCCATCTACCTTTTACTCTCAAGTGAAGCTACAACTAGAAAGTGATCTGATATATCTGTGGCCCCTCTATAAACATGTACATCCTGAAGTCTACTCAACAGTCTTTTATCTACCAATACATAATCCAACAAACTACTGTCATTTCGCCCTACATCATATCTTGTATACTTATTTATCCTCTTTTTCTTAAAATATGTATTACCTATAACTAAACCCCTTTCTATACAAAGTTCAATCAAAGGGCTCCCATTATCATTTACACCTGGCACCCCAAACTTACCTACCACACCCTCTCTAAAAGTTTCTCCTACTTTAGCATTCAGGTCCCCTACCACAATTAGTCTCTCACTTGGTTCAAAGGTTCCTATACATTCACTTAACATCTCCCAAAATCTCTCTCTCTTTACTAAATATTTCACTAAAATATTTTTACTAAATATTTTACTCTTCTTCACTGTTCAAGCCATGAAAAACTTGAATAAAGTGCTCATTACCCTGCTTCCAGATGCCGTTAATACACTTAGTTGTGACCAACTTCGATGCTTTTGCTATGTTTTTGATGCCTTGATAAATGTTATACTTTTTCCAAAAATCTGTTAAGAGTTAGTTCTGGGTCTGAATCAATGGCCTCGATAGCTTGATCAAAAGATATGCGCAGATAATGCTCTTTAACCTGAAAACGGTCCAAACGTATATATA